CCCCCCCCCCCCCCAATAGAAAATGGCAACCAGATGGAGGGGGCGGCAGGGTAAGTTTAATATTTTTTTATTATTGTAACTTTTTTATTACTTTTTTACATTTCTTTTATATTTTATTAAGTTTTTTTACATTTTTAAATTTTTATTTATAATCTTTTACTTTTTTATTTTTTATAATTGTTTTATCTTATTATATTTTTTACCTATTTATTTTTCTAATTTTTTTATTATATTTGTTTACTTTTGAATCACCTTTTTTGTTTTTTAATTTTATTTATTAATATTTTTTACTTTTTTTTTAATTTTTATTTTTTTAATCATTTTTAATCAATTTTTTTTTGTTACAGTTAACTTTATTGCTATCACACAGGAGCTAACAAGCAGGAGGACAGACCTGCAACCTTATTACAAGTGATCTTGGTCGACTTTGCTGAGATCACTTGTAAGCGAAAAAGCGGCTTTCCCCCTCTACATGCCCAAAGCAGAGCTAAATGTAGAAAACAACTACCCGCCTGGCGCCCGGAACTGCATGTCCTGGGCGTCGGGAGATTCTACACCCCTGCCGCCCCGAGGCCGGGCCTTGGTGACCTTCTCGAAAATCCGTCCCTGTCAACAGGGAATAAAATTCAGTTGTGTTTTCTGAATGCAAAATCAATGCTAAAGCTTCACATTCCAATGTCATATCTCTACATAATGATGACATACTGTATATCGCAAGACCTCTGGTATTATTTTGGAGATGGTCGTAACCTAGTCATTGTTGTCAGCCAGTTTAGGTTGAGATGAGGCGGACTTCGATCTCCTTTATTAGAATCTCTGAACAGGATGATGGAAGCGTAGAGGAAAAGGTAACTTGTCGTTTTTGTAACTTGTAGCGAGGGTTCAGCCGGTGTAGTTATCTTTTAAATATGCCGAAGAACATGCAAAACTTGAAACCTTGTTTTAGCAAGTGTGAACCTGCCTACAAAAGTGTGCTTGTGTGGGTTTCCTCCGGGTACTCCGGTTTTCTCCCACACTCCAAAGACATGCTGGGAGGTTAATTGGCCCCTGTCTAAATTGGCCCTTGTATGTAGGCAAATATCTTAGATTACCTTACCTTAGATTGTAAGCTCCTACATGTTTTATTTTTTATATTTAAAACGAATTCAATATATAATATTAAGGAGAAAAAAAATCTATCTATCTATCTATCTATCTACACTATATATTGGTAGATAGATATACTTTGTTTCAGTCTTCTCTACAGCTGTGCAATCTTGCTTTACATTCGCTTTAATATAAAGATGAATACTCGAAAGGGTAAACCAGACTGAGAAACTTTGGTACGGATGAGATATTATCTGCTGTTTGTGAAAAGCCACAATGACACATCGCAGTAAATCATTTTCAGCCGTTTTATCTTGAGGTTATTGTCTCTCTCTCTTTTTTTTCCCCCCTCTTGTATGCCGGTTGGTGTCATACAACAGATTCCCACATTTAATATTCGTTTGCTCAAACGACATCCCATGGTCTTCTGACTCCTCCAGCGATGAGGGTAAACAGTGCGATTATTTGTTTCACAGAGGACTGGGAAGAGTAAAGCAGCAGAGATATTAATTCTGTAAAATTATGGTTTTGTAATGTTTGTTCATTTTATTTACGAGAATTTTGGGCAGGTTGCGACAGCCAGCCACAAGAAGATATTAGTCACGGGTTACTTCCTAAATGACATAATGATGTATTGCAACATAGATGTTCTAGTCCAACAAGCTGTACTCGTGAAATAGGTCTTTTAGAACAGGGCCGTGCTTTTTTAGGGACAGGCCTGTGTTTTGAAGATTGGTGCTTGGA